CGTTTCAGTTGAATTAGTGTAACTATAAGGGTATCTAGCTAGTCCACTTTAATATTTCACGGTTGGGAACGTCCGAAAATAGATAAATAATTGGCAGTTTTTAATTCTGGGAATTAATGATAATTTGCGACCGAAAGGTGGAGGGCTGTTTGATAAATTGTAATGATGTCGGGCACACAATCCCCAGTCCACCCCATCTGCCATCAACGAATTCCCTTTGGAACGATTTACAGCCTGTTCCACGATATCGAAAGAACACATTCGCACACCTTTTACACGACACACAGCTGATTTCCGTTCCACTAAAATCCATCAGAACGAAAATTTTACAAACATCAAAGCGAACGCATGCGAACACAAATGTCAAAATCAGTCACTTGTGTATGTGCTGTCATCTGATTATAATTCAGGAGAATTGTTTAAACATAAATATTGGAAACAAACAGATGAATAGGAAACTCGGAACGTTTTTGTTTGTTTATTTACAATTTATTTGATTACAGCTGAACTGTCAATTCAGACAGAACCAGCTTGTTACAGCCATTTCGCGTTTAAATCTGTCTTTCCGGCGTTTTTTTTTAATTTTGCGATCAATTACTTCAAAGGTACATTTAGCAACACTGAGTTACCCAAGGCTATGCGAAAGAACGAACGAATGTTAGTGGAACGCATTCTGATACGAAAGTGAGTGACAAGCTTTCGTTCCCACAAATTTTCTTTCGATATCGTGGAACAGGCTGTTAGACTTGCGGTATCTGGCTGGAGCAGAATTCTTTCTTTGTTTTTAATAATATTCTGATTTAACGCCAAAATAACTTAAAATTCTTACCCGTGATTTACCAACGAACTCTGAATTTCCCTATGGATCGGCAATTCATCGTTTTCAAAGTATAGGTTAATTTTTCTATTCCAATGCGCCACTTACAGTTCATAAATCTCTTACAGTGGTTAATGTTTTTAACATTTTACATTTGAGTGACTTCAAATTTTTCACATAGATGATATCGGCTGATTCGAATTTTTTCGATGAAAAGAGGTGAGAGAATCTCTTCGTCTTTTCAGAGAGAGAATCTCTTCGAATTTTCATTAGTCTATAGCATGACAAGAGTGAGGGAGGGAAGGGGGAAGAAAAATAGGAAACAGTGGATATGTGGGATATGTTAATCAAGGGTACTGTGATGCTGCTGTAGTTTTTCTCACAGTGCAACAAAAAAATTTAAACTGAAAATCCAGCAGATTATGAAAGTAGGGCTAAAAATCGAAGAAACAATTATCGGCGTTTTGTAAATTAACATCGCAAAGTATCAATTTTACCTTGGCCTTTTTTTCGAGGTAAAAACGAAATTTAGTGAAAAATTATTCAATTTTGTAAATGATGTTGAAAATGCATATAATAATAACCTCAATAACCGATTGGCTTAGTTTAAGAAAACATATACAACTCTACTTATTTTTGAAAAAAAAAAAAAAACAGTAAAGAAAGGCTTAAATTCAGGCGGTGCCGACTTTATGATACCCTACACCACTTTGTACATTTAGTAGAGCTACCCATAACAAATAAACGTTTTTATGAAAAATAAATCATACCAACCACGATTGTTTTTGAATGCGTATTAAGGATTTAAAGCGGTAATAATTTAAAGTCGACATTAACTAATATATGTGAGTAATATCCTCATCTGTACCGAATTTGTGTCTAATCTGATATTCATCAAAATCCATCAGAGCTGATTTTACACTTTTTAGGCCAAATAAAAGTGAAATTGATTGAAGATGGGAGCTATATCCAAATCTGAACAGATCTTTGTGACATGCATTCGTAAATTCACCGAATATCATTATTACAGATGTGAAGAACAAAAATTACAAATCGGATGAACAATACATATGGGAGCTATAGCTATATTTTAAGCGATTTATATCAATTGGGACATGCTTGCTTTTAGGCTCAATTTGGTCGTATGTGACAAATTCCATCCTATTTGGGATTATATTACACATTTGGCGCACAATAAGAGAAATTCGGACGAAGTTATATATGGGAGATTTATCTAAATTTTGTTCGATTATCTCCAATTTTAAGAGGATTTGTCCTTGGGCCAAACAACTAATTTGTGCAAACTTTAATCTCGATCGGGCAATAGATGCGACCTGTTCTTTGGACAGACGGATGAACATGCATGCACCGAAAAGCAGCACAAATAAAGGAAAATAAGCGCACAGCTGATTTGGCAAATGTCAATATCCTCGATAGAGAGAAAAAAACAACAAAACACAGATATTTGAAAGTTTGCTGGAAAAGTCCCCTTTCCCCAAACTCTTCACATTATTTGACATTTTCTGATTAAAGTTTTCAACACTAATATATTTTTAACGTATTTATCTGCTAGTTTAAATGTGATTTTCCGTATTGATTGAATTTAGCTTAAGATTTTAATTTTGCTAAAACTTCTAGCGCCCATCCGTGAGCGCAGGGTTACACGTATGTACGAAGGGAATAATTTCTAGTGTGTGTTTGGATATATGGTAACGTAACCCTTAAATGAAGATGATACCCATAATCTCTATTAGGGAGGAAGTAGTTCTGTGAATTAGCCAGATTCGCAAAAATACCAACTCCTTCTCGTAGGCAGTGATGGGCTCACAATAGATAATTCAGGTGTTTGGAATTAAAAAAATCGACTTTGTTTAAATATGTTAATGTAATGCTTAAGTTTGAAAAAAGCATGACAGAAAATTATTTATATATTTAATTGATTGTCATAAATATGATGAATTAAATTTTTTGTAAGCGAGAAGATTAGGATTTTGCATTGAGAACAAAAAGGTCAAAGTAGAGTGAGCTAAGTGTAGGAAGTGATGTTGTGTTTGTGTCGTTTTATTTTGTTTGTGTTGTTTGTTTGTATATGTTTTCTCCTCTCTTGATTGGTCGACCCTTAGGTCTGATGCTGGCAGTGTTAAGAACCCCCTGAAAGTGTGTGCCCAGACTGAGCGAGTTGGTACCCCACCATAGCGCCACATTAGGTAGTACGCTAACAAAACATTGTTTTTATTTCTGCCATATGCAATTTTAGTATTTATCGAAGATAAGCCGGCACTCGAAAAACCATAAACATTTAATATTTTTATGACATGACATGATTGTTTAATATATTTGCAAAGTGAGAATGGTGACTTCTCCGTCATTTTATTTGAAAACGCAAAATGTGAGGGCAAATACATTCAGGTTAAGTTACTGACTATTAAATACAGCAATTGAGAGATTGTCAAATTAATAGCACTTGAAGAAAAAATCTATAAAAATGCACCGAACAATTTGAGGTTGCGGGGCGACTCCGTATCTGAGAAATGAAAGAGCCAGTGAAGAAAATGTGTTTGGAGTTTAAAAGTTTAAATTTTTGCTTAAAATTAAAATAAATTTTGAGTCCCGCCAAAGAAGTTTTTCCACTATTATCGCAGCATTGTCATGCCTTCACATGCTCTGTTATATGCGCAATATCTAGCGTCCTTAATACAAGTTGTCAAAATGTCAACGAAAAAATCCATTGGCATATGTGTATGTCCTTTTATAATGGTTCAACATTCTTTAATAGCACCAAATTTAGAGGAATGTCAGGAAACAAGGAAACCACATCAAATGAAATTAAGATTTCGTCATCTTCAACATGTTGGTTGATAATCCTAGATTTGAAGCCTTTGCATCTTTTTTGTTTGCAGTACTTTCAGAATCTTTGATATATGTCTAGATAGCTCATGAGTCGGTGAATTTATTATGGATTTTGGGCTGTCCACATATTTTTGTGGAATTTACGTTATATTTATTAGGTCTTATTTCTCTTTTTCGGCAATTAGTTTTAACACAAACTATTTTGTAACTAATTTATTTTTTCCAATAGTCCTGCTGTTGGTGTTTTTCTAACACGATTGTAAGTACACATGTCCATTAAAATTGCATTCATTTTTAAATCGTACTCTGTTTTTGACATGGAAACAGTGTTCCACCCTTGTCTGAATTTATTATTAATATTTGTTAATTTTGTTGCAAAAGATGTTCGTGAATTTCTTAATCGTTTTTTCTCCTCCTAACGCAGTCGAAAGCTGGAAATAATTGTTGAACTGACTCGCATTAAGTTGAGTGGGTGGTAATTAGTTTATACAGGGGGGCTTCGGCAACTTCGAACACAGGAGTTGATGAGTTGACTTATAAAAAGTGCGGCTGTAGAAAGTAAGAATAGAAACACAGCGTTGTCTCTTCTGCAGTTCGAAGGGATCTCATTTTCCTAGCAAAATTTTCTTAACCTTAGACCTTAATGTAGATAATATAGAACTATACATGCAAATTTAGGTAGCCGCCATTTATAATCCATATTTATTATCAACCAAAATAAACACGACATATGGTCGCATTAACATTCTGTGTGCGGCAATAAAATGCACTGTTTATCTAAAACGCCGGCATATGTACTGCGCGCGAGTAGTAAATACCATATTATATGTTCTACATTTTTGAATATAATTATAATAAAAAATCTTAACGTACAGTTCACTAAACTGTAAAGGAATCATTACCTCGTTGTTCTACAGGAGCTTCGACTTTTTGTACCGCATCGTAGCTCAAACATTGAACGCCGACATCAATCTGTACACCAACATCGTAAATCCTGGTCACAATCAACCTGTCTACAACCGACCACCATAAATCAAAGTTCCCGACTAGCTTCAAATCGTCTTTAACCTGAACATTATTCTTCGGCTAATCACACTTCATCAATAACACTGGTTTTTACTTTCCATCCTTTTTTTACTTTATTTAAGCTTAGGGTGTACGTAGAATATCATTATGTTATTATAGGATCTTATATGTAGGCAGATAGAAGATAAGGTCGTATTTTGTTGTTCATTCATCTAATCTACTAATCATGACTGTACTCGGCACAATGGCTTCGCAAATGTAGAATGCATCCATATTACAATTCCAGTCATTCATTCGGTATTTGTACATACTGTACCATAAATGCATACAATCTTCATTGCCTCCAGCATTATCAGGCTGTCCAAGCGACCATTCAGCATATATTACTGGTTTTCCAGTTCGGTACCAATAAAAATTACCCTCTGAATCTAGATCAGATCCTGATATCTACCACCATCTGTACGTTGAATATTCGTTTTCTAAATAATCAGTCAATTCCTCGAATTCTTGTTGATTGTCAAAAGCGGCTAAGTAACCACCCATAGATCGGCATATTAAATTTGCTTTGAACCAATTTGCCTTTGGAATGTGATAACAGAATTTAAATAAAATGTTTTTGTATGAAAACGTTCATGTTTTGTTACCTTTGATCGACTGAAATGATACAGTTTATTACCGACTCGGGTGAATTTAGACAATTTCAATTGATCAGGGTATCCTAAAAAGAAAAGAGAAACAATATTACTTATACTCTATTATTTTATTGTATTTCTGCCGACCTTAAGCCAGCATTTAAAAATCAGGAAAATGTGATGTCCACTATTACCTTCCAAGTTGGGTGACCCTGAGGCAATGACAACTGGACAAATGAAAGTCAAAAGAAAAGAAATATTCAAGACACTGTTGCAGAGCATGGCTGTTTTCGCCTTATTTCGCCGTTGAGTTCCAAACGACTGAATCGTGTATAAAATTTGCCTTGAACCAAGAAACGTATGGAATGTGATAACAGAATTTAAGTGAAATGGTTTTGTACGACAGCCTTAATACATTGTTGCATTGGATTGACCGACATGATACAGTTTATTGCCGACTTCGGGGTTTCCTAAAAAGAAACGAGACAAATAATATTACTTATATTCATTTATTTTATTGTATCTCTGCCGACCTTAAGCCGGCATTTTATAATTGGAAGATTTGTTGTCTACTATTACCTTTCGATTTGGTAGGGGACACTTTTTGCGTCCATGAGTCAATTATAATTGGACAGATGAAACTAAAAAGAAGACAGATAGTCAAGACGCTGTTACAGAATGAACATGGCTGTTTTCGCCTTATCTCGCCAGTGAAAGCCAAACAACTGAATCGTGTATCCATAAATAGCATCTGAAATAAATACATTATCAATGGCCTATTTCACAGCTTGTTTTTATACCCTCAACCATTCTATGGCGGGTATATTAACTTTGTCATTCCGTTTGTAACTCCTCGAAATATTTATAATAGACTGTACAAAGTACATATTCTGGATCAGCGTAAAATTCTAACACGATCTAGGATGTCCGGCTGTCTGTTGTAATCACGCTATCTTTCGAACGAATTGAGATAGAAGGCTAACATTTTACATACATGCATAGTTTACCAGTAGGCAGGTTAAGTTCGTAAATGGACCATGTCGCTCAACGTTTTTTATTTATTTTTTATTAATTTATTTCTTTTTTGAGTTTAGCGACCGAAAGGTGCAGGGCTGTTTGATAAAGTATAATGAAGTCGGATACACAATCTCTGGTCAACCCTACTACCATCAACGAATTTTCTTTGGAACAATTGAAAATTGCGGTATCTGGCTGGAGCAGAATTCTTTTGTTGCTGTTAATAATATTCCGACTTAACGCCAAAATAACTAAAATTTCTTATCCGTGATACACAATCGAACACTTCATTTCTCTAAGGATCGAACAATTAATCTTTTCCTAATTGTAAGTAAGTAACATTCGCTCTTCGAGCTATATTCTTCTCAATTGTTAATAGCGATGATCCCCAGGCAATATTTTTTACCAGCAGCATATTCCCGCTTTATCAAACCACATCACTAAATTCTCCACGAATTATATGTTTATTGGTATAGAAACTTATTTATTCGAGTTCCATTGAACTTCTCCCTTTTGTTGCAAAAATGAAATGGAAAAAATGGAATGACAAATCGACATGTGAGTTCGTTTCTTATGCAAACAGCAATATCTTTGCTCTGATGCTTCTTCTCATTAGAATGCTGGTATGCACTCTCAAATGCTTTTTTACTTACCGTTCACAATTATCTCTCTCTCTCACTGTTGTGTGATTGTTGCTATTATTTCTCTGTTCATATTTATGATAGTGACCACGTTATTACTAACCACTAACGGGTTTTCAAGAATTAGAATAACAACTGCAAGAGAGGAACAAACGGTGAAGAATAATAAGCAACGGTGTTAATGTGGGGTATGTTCAGTAAAAGTTGTGATGCTGCTGTGGAGTTTCTCTCATAAACAAATGTGCAACACAAAAAATTAAAATAAAGCTTTACATGGAAGACGTGTGTATCGGCGTTTTGAACGATTACATCGCAAAATATGCCTTCGGGGAGCAAAGCTTATTGTTAACGGGTGCTTCCACAGGTTGCGGATAGTGGAAAGCCCAATAGATATATTGAATAGCTGTGAACCAACAGCGGGTCCGGTCTCGATATAAATGACTAGCGCCCCTAAACTACCTGGTTTGATGGAGTTACCGTACTTTACAAAAATAATAAAAGTAAGGAAAAGTCATAGGCCGACTATATCATATCCTACACCACTATGCATATTTTGCAGACCTCTCGTAACAAAAGAATTTATTTCAACCGATCTTGATAAAATTTGGCAGAGGCATTTCCGGGATGTATCTGTAGTCGTAGCATATTTCGAATGTGGGGGACTTAAACATCAAATCGGATGAAACATATATATAGCTATAGCTATATCGAACCGATTTTAATGAACTTGCTTCTAGTCTCAAGTCGGTCGGATATGCCAAAATTCAGGTAATTTGGACAGATATTGACCATTTGGTGCAGAATTAACCCGAAATCGTTTGAGGATGTATATCTTAGCCGATCCTGACAATATTTGACACACTTATTTCGGATCTGTATATAATATTTGATTCCAAAGATCATTGTTGTGGAAAGCATATTGCGCTTGTGAGAGACTTAAAGCCCAAAATCGGATCAAACATATATATGGGAGCTATAGCTATATCTGAACCGATTTACACCACCACACACTGAATTCACTCGTATTTGCCAAAATTTCAGTCCATTTGCACTGATATTAGCCATTTGGTGCACAATTAACCCGAAATCGGTTGAAGATATATGGGAGCTACATCTAAATTTGAACCGATACCAATTTCAATAATGTTTATCCTTGGGCCAAACAAATATTGTTTGTAAAATTGCAACTCTATCGGATAATAAATGCGACCTGAATTTTGTTCACAAGAATACATGGACGGATGGACTGACAGGCATAAATCGACTCAAAATCTGATTCTCTGAATATCCTCAAAAGTAACTGTCTTCCTTCCTATTCCTATCTCGCTTCCTTCTCCCTCTTACAAACAAATGCACAAAGACTTGTGACTATGTGATGTAAGGCATAAAAACGGATCGGAGTGGTTCCCTTAACTAATTAACTACAATTTTTCAAGTATTAGTAAAGGTAAAACCAGTAAAAACGCCGAGCCGAACTTTGAATATTCTCCGCCATTTGGAAGGAATTTGAAAAATTTCAAAATAAGTTTCGCTGAAAAATTCTGTTTACAACATAAAAATGCCGAATATAGGGGGTTAACGTTATTTTGAGGTGTATACGAAGACGTAAACCAGCATAGGCAAGTTTCGTCATAGGCCATTACAATATTCAGATACAAAACTTGAAAAAATTTCGGTGAATAATTTCGCAAAAACTTCAAAATACCGAAGGTACCGTTATATGGGGCTTTACAAAAATAAAGACCTAGTAAGGGTATAATACTTAATTTTCTAGATTTTTTCCGGGCCCAAGAATTGTGATTGATTTTATTGGGAGTTCGGAGCAACACCTGGCATAAAGTACTTTGTTTTTATGCCCTCCGCCATATGGATAGAGAGTGTATAAATCATTTGATACGGCCAAACTGGTCTCATTGCAATAACGGTTTCTAGGTTTCTTTGGACCAAATCCGTTTCAGGAAATTTGAAGTCAATCTGTTTGGCTGACTGACGATAACTCTCGAAGGGAGTGTGCGAGTTGAACCAAACTTGGTACATCGTAATATTATTATCAAACTAAGAACGACTTCGGAGATGGGCAATATCGGTTCACTACTTTTGGTAGCTTACCCAAATAAGATTGAAATTTTCAAAAAAAAAAAAAATAAATAAAAACAAGTAAGCAAAGGCTACAGCCGACCGTTGAATACCCTACAACACTATAATAAACGATACAGTTTATATAGGCGAGATAGTCGAAAGAATTCCACAAGATATTGTGACAAATAATAAAAGAAAACCATCAGGTTTCGTTCTTTAATTTTCGAATACTAGCAACTTAAACCAATTTGCACATTTCCAATTTATTGGTAATTAAATTGTCTTCCTATATCTGGAACCAATTTTCCCAAAGACCTATAATCTCTCAGAAGTGGCAAAAGATTAACATTTATTATTGGTTTTTGACTGAAACGCATCTATATGAGATACAGACATTTGACTATATTCTCCAATTAAATCAGCGTTAACGAAATAGTCAGAAGTGCGTCTTTCCTGTATTTGTGAATTCTCCAACAATTCCTGGAATGGACATTTTCGTATTTTGTCTATAAAAGTTGGCAAACTCCTTCACACATTGAATATTTTTGGATGGCCATCCAAAACTGCTTGGCTTTTGCAATGTCCGGTAACCCTCATTCAAGTGTGCGTGAGGATCGGGCGATAATTACGACCTGCTGACAGGGCTTCTATTCTGACCCTCATCTTATCCCCATGCTAAATTTCGTAAGAATCGAGCCATAAATGCGATCTGTATATGATATCCTGATATCCTAACTACTTAGTTTTGTTAGCTGTAGAAATATTACCAAATGTTTAATTCAAAATGAAAATATGCCAAAAATATGACAAAATTGGAAAAATATGAGAAAATTTTACAAAATCAATATTTTCATCTTTAGAGAGATATTTTTATGCGGTTTTTTAGGCGTTTTTTCTTTCCTGCCAAGAGGCCATTCTGAATTAATGAGAACTGTCGAAATCAGTTCAGCCGTTCTCGACATATATGAGATCTTTCAAGCATATCTTCTTTGATAGACATATATATCGCACATATTTTGCTATATATCCGATTTGTTGGATCTTAACTTCAATGTAAAGATCAGAAGTAACCTTGTCATGGCTTTGTGATTTCGCCGGGATTTAAAATATTCGCGGTTTAATGAAAAATTTTGAATTTTTTCAACAAAAACGATATCGTCTATTTTACCCGCTAAATATTATCCGATGACCACCCAAATTTGTAGGCTTCTTCCCCGCCCTAAACTCTAGTTACATGCGAAATTCCGTCGATTGGTCTATAATTGCGACCTGTATAGCTACTGCAAAATCCGACATTTTTTCAGTATTTTGTCCATTTCAACCCCTAAATATTATGCGATCATCTTCAAAAGAAATAGGGTTCTATTCTGACGTTAACCCCACCTCCATTCTAAATTTCGTGAAGATCGGGCCATAATTGCGACATAGAGTGATTACAAATTAACATGGACAGACGGACGGACGGACATACATAGCTAGATCGACTCATCTCGGCGAGCTAGGAAGATCCATATATACTTTCCTATATGGGAAACCAATATTTCGAGGTGTTACATAAATTCTGGCCCAATCAAACTTATAATACCCCCAACACATAGTGTTGTAGGGTATAAA